CATGCCCTAGAAATTGAACTTCTCAGAGACAGAACTCACACTTCGAAAACTTCGTGTATTATTTTTCCTGTTTCAGCAACCTCAAAACCATGCGAAGATGTTCCTCATGCTCATTCTCAGTGCGAGAATAAATTAAAATATCATCTATGAAAACAATGACAAACTTATCTAGGTAGGGTTTGCATATTCTGTTCATCAAATCCATGAAAGCTACAGGTGCATTTATCAACTCAAATGGCATTACTATGAATTTATAATGCCCATACCTAGTCCTAAAAGCTCTTTTAGGCACATTCTCCTCCCGGACCTTCAGCTGATGCGTAGGTTGATCTTTGAGAAATAACTGGCACCCTGAAGTTGATCGAAAAGATCATCAATCCTTGGATGTGGGTACCTATTCTTTATGGTTACTTTGTTAAGCTTGTGGTAGTCGATGCACATCCGCATTGTGCCATCCTTCTTCTTAACGAATAACACCGGCGCTCCCCAGGGCGAGGTGTTAGGGCGTATAAAACCCTTGTCTAACAACTCCTACAACTGAGTCATTAGCTCTTTCATTTCTGACGATGCAAGACGATAGGGTGTTCGAGCTACAGGTGCAGCTCCCGGTACAATATCAATCTGAAACTCTACCCATCTCTCGGGTGGTAGACTTGTCAGGTCATCCGGAAAGACTTCAGGAAACTCCCACACAACAACAATGTCTTCCATACTCATTTTCTCTTTCCTAGCATCTATCACATATGCCAAATAACTTTGACATCCCTTTCTTACACACCGCCTCGCTTTAACTAGGGAGATCATGCTTAGATTTCTTATTTCTTCTATCTCCATAAATTACTATGGTTCCATTATCGGGTAATTCAATCTGAATTATCTTTTTGTTACACATAATTCTTGCCTGGTTTTCAGCTAACCAGTCCATTCCAATTATTATATCAAATTCCCCGAGAGTCATAGGGAGTAGTTTTAATGGAATCGAACAACCGTCTATTTGAATATTGCAGTCATCATACTCCTCTCTAATTATGACCCTATTATCATCGGCAGTTTCTACCTCTACGGCTGAACTTAAAGGCTTTGGTACTCTATGCAGATAATCATATAAAGTTGTAGACACAAAAGAACGGTTTGCTCCAGAATCAAAGAGTACTCTAGCACGTACAGAGTTGACCAGAAAGGTACATGTCACCACGTCTGGTGTCTCCTCGGCTTCTGTTGCTGTCATGTGGAAGACTCTTCCTTTTGACTTAGTTACTTCAGCTCGCCTTTCCTCCCTTTTTCCATTTTGACTTCCACCTTGACCTGTAGTATGCTCATTCTTCTGCTGAAGGCAATTTGTTTGTATATGGTTGGGTGACTTACAAATGAAGCATAGTCGCTCCCTTCGCTCAACTTTGCAATCCTAAGACAGATGTCCTGGCTTCCCACATCGGTAACACATCCTCGGCTTAACCATGCATTCTCCTTTATGCACACGGTTGCATTTAGGACATGGTTTAGCAGCTTGCTCTTGCCATGTCTTCTTTTCTGAACCCAGAAACTTTGGCTTCCTGCTTTCATTGTTCGGACATTCCCATTTTCTTTTTATTTGGCCCCGCTCAGCATCTTGACGATTCATCTCTTTCTCTTGAATTTCCGCAGCGTTTACTGCCTCCTGAAATGTGGTTGGACTCATAGTGAGAACAAATTCCCGAATAGATGCTTTTAGTCCCAAGATGTATCGCTCTACCCGTATTTCCTCGGTCGAGACATAGTGTTCGGCAAACCTTGTTTTTTTGTAAAACTTGTTATATACTCCCGGACTGTCATGATTCCTTGTTCCAACCTCAAAAATTCCTTTTCCAATTGCTTTATCGCAGTTCGAGGACAAAACTTCTCATTAAATAACACCTTAAACTCACCCCATGTCATTCTTGCYACAGCCTCTTCGCSCCTTAAGTTYGTAATTATTTCCCACCAGAAAAGGGCTTCTGATTTTAGCATGGATGTCGCATATGTCACCTTATCTTCCTCCGCACACTTACTGATTTTGAAAAT